TTCCACATCGAAAGGCATCACCCAACCCACACTGCAAGAATCATTTACAGAGATCACCAGCCACGGTAAGTAACCTGAGTGAACGTATGCCAGAACATGGAGTTTCACGAAAGAGCACAAGTGCCACTCTAATTCTATAGCAATACTTACACTGCCACAAGCCGACTGAGGATTATTGATCTGCTCTGCAGTGAGCTCAAGCTTCCCAACCTTCTCCTCAGCCTCAGCCCTGCCACAAGTACAGTTCTTGCACGCCTTCTTTGCAGCCCCCACTTCACAATCCCCAACTGGTGAAACATCAGTTAACTGTTTAGGATCCAAACCTAAATTGGCTATTTCTTACAAAGTTGAACTAAGTTGATAGGGTTTGTTACTGTACCAACTGGAAGTTGTGGTTTCTTCAGATCCTCTTCAGTCAAGAGGCTGTCTTCATCAATCAGATCAGAGTCATCATCAATTTGAATCTTGGGAAGGGCCCTCGTTGCTTTCGTTGCTTTCTTGAGGGGAAAAGAAGAGCCCACGCTCCAGCTAGCCTTCTTTGCCTTAACCTACAAGCGGTTCAAATTAGCACCAAAACTAAAGCCTGCACAAGCAATATTAACATATTATTATACATGAACTTAGACCACTCACTGTAACAGATTGCACGCTATCCAGCGAGTTTGCAGCAGAAGATTGCACTTCAGCAAATCCTCCCATCAGTAACTTGCGCTCAATATCAGCGTTTGGCTAACAGAGACAATCATAAAAATTAGGCACTTTATATTAACAGTGCAAGAGAAACGAGGTAAGGGAGACAAATTCTGATAAGTTACCTTCTGACTGGATCGTGCAGGGCTCTGCACCAATACTCTTCCACCAGCTTTCAGCACCCGACTGATTTCAGCAACCAATTGCTCCCTCAAGCTTTCCACGTTTTTAATGACTGCAAGAACCGCACCAACTGATGCATCCTCAAAAGGCAACTTTCCACCTGTTGCATGCCAGAACAATAGTTTGGTTACAGTTTTGTGATAATACACCGAAGTGGACACAAGGAGGACATGGCATAGCAAAGCCGAACACAAATCAAAATCAAACATTATTAAGTGTCTAATATAGGCTCCCAAAATCAGAAATACTAGCACTCGGCTTATCCATAAAAACACGCACGAGCTATATAGTCAGGAAGCATATATTACTGATCCACTAAATTTAAATTCAGACGGTGAACCCATGGCTAAAATGCTAAATTTTTTTGTTCCTTTTCCAAAGTATAATCCTAACTTTCATCTCTGGCTGGTCTGGAAAAAATCTTCCTCTTCTTTTACCTCATATTTTTTTCCATTGCGTGTGAAATAGCGATAGGAAGATTAGTGTGTAGAGCAATTCACTTTGATCATGAAATTTTGATGTGGGTTTTAGATATCATTTGAATAAATTGGGGAAGCATTCTCGGGTTCTCCGTTCACACTTTACATATCATATAGGTAGACATGGATAGCACCTGCGTGGGTTTGTGTTTTCAGTGTCTGATGAATACCTAGTTTTGTTTGCCCGTTTAATTTTTCTGTTTTTTTATTTATTGTTATAATAACCTTATCACATAGTTGTTTTACAAGCAGGTCATTCCTTTGTTGAATCAGGTGGCTCCATACTCGACATCTGCATTTCAGAGGTTTAGGTTTTCAACTTTAGTCCCCCCAACAAGATGATAAGGAGACAAACAAACACACAGATGATGGGGTTAATAAAAGCGTTGGAGCGAGTACTGAAGCTTCAAGCGAAGCCAATAATATGCCAAGAACCGAGAAGGAACAGGAAGCAGGTTCACATGATTCTGTATCCAAGTCTAACAGGAAGAGGAGAACTACTAAACGAGCTGCATTTTCTGATTCAGATTCACAAGACCTAGACCTAGACCTATCAAAGGTGGACCTTATGAAGCTGCTTCTTGAGAAAGAAGCATCACTGAAGTCTAAAGATGAAGAGTTTAAAGATATGAAGGATAAGGTCTATTCTAGAAAGCACTTGTTTCTGAACTCTAGTCTCGACTCAGGTGCCAGTTACCATAGGTCAATTCAGTTCAACCAGGTACTCAGTTATTCTTCTTCTTCCTTCAGCATGTGCAGCTCAAGTAATAATAAAAAAATTCTGTAATCGTGAACTAAAACTACTACAACAACAACGATTCACTAAAGCATAAGGTTTAGCCCATGATAGGCACCCTGCTAATCTATACAGTTTGAGGCACAGGCATCGGAAGTTAAAAAAAACATAACACAGCAACACATTTTTTCTTTTATCCAATAGCTGGTGTTTAGGAAGTCCCAGGAACATAAGGTTTGGTCCCGAGAGATGAAAGGAAACTACAGCAAGGTTCGCTCAAGCGTACCATGCCAATAAAATTCGAGCAAGTATACATTGCTTGCACTGGATCACAAACAGGGAGCAGTGTTTGTGCAGTTCCTATCGTCTTCTATCATTTTTTGGGCATACAAAAATCAAGGGGGAAAGATACCTGGAACTACTCCATGGGCTACTACCGATCCCAGGAGAATGGTTTGATGAACTAATTCCCGAATTAAAGAACGAAACCCTAAGAACCAAATGTCTACTCCAAATTTGATTGTAAAAGACAGGAGCCCATTCGACGAAACCACACCAGAAGGCTCGCTAATTGAAGCATGCAAGCAAGAAGCAAAAAAAAAAAAAACACGAATTGACGGGTTCCTGCATCCACACACGCACGCACGAACTCGCCCTTCATCGCCGACGATCGAGCATAGGATGAGGAAGAAAATGAAGAGAGGGCAAGACGGGGGCGAAGCTAGCTAGCTCACCGAGCGCCGCGCACTGGGTGATGACGGCGACCTCCTCCCGCGAGACCTCAGCGGCGGCCGCCAGATCTCCCACCGCCCGGATCGGCAGCGCCACCTCGTCCGTCACCACGAGCGCCGCCGCCATGAAGTCCAACCTTTCAACCTGCACACGAGCACGCCCAGCACCAGAAGGACTCGGTGAAAAGCGTATCCCCGCAGAGAACCCGATCGAGGAATTAGGGTTAATCCAGGGGGATTTTATCTGGGCGCCCCAGGATTCATCGCGCGACTGCTACCTGAGATGAGAAGAAGAAGCGAATTTGATTTGCTTCCCTACCCTCTCGAAGCTTCACCAGGGTGGGGAACTGGGAGAGCCGAGACCGAGAGGGGGAGCAATGACGTTTTCCCCTTTCTTCTGTGAGAGCACAAACGGGCCGTACGGGCGAGAGATTGGTCGGCGGCGACTCGGCGCGATGGCGATGGGTCGATCGGGTCAAAAGACTGCATAACGCGGCCTACTGCTCTTCGCTGGCCCGACCCGACGGGACGCGTTCCGTTTCTGTCGATGCAAAATGCCTTTGTTGCCGTTGCTGCCTTGCTGGGCTCTTGGGCCAAGAATTACTTGGAGTTTATTCCTGGGCTCTACTTGGGCCACGACTAGGGCCATGCCCTAGTGTCCCTTGGCCTGTGCCCGCCCCTGACCTCAGCAATAGGATTATCATTTGTTCACACTTCCTTTTTTTTTTGAAAAATTAGAAGAGCACTTTCATGTCATGTCATATAAGGAGAGGAAGTTGTCCTCTAGACATTTTATCTATCTATATATCTATAGTATATAGAGCTAAAGAATTAAAAATATTTGTCACCTAAATTTTTTTACTCGTATCATATCAGGGCCTTTGGATAATTTTTTTCTTTAAAACTAACGGTGCATGTCAATCTAATGATGGGCCACTTATGCCCTTATGGTCACCCATTGAATCTTACACATTCCTACCGTTCTAAAGGAACAGACAACACATGCCAGGTGTTTTTTTACCAACAATTCTTCTACCACCTACATACCTAGGATTTCCCGGCTAGGCACCATAAGATAGAGCATGATTTTAAAAAACTAAAACTAGTTTTTTGAGATAAAATAAATTTACTATTAAACCAGGTTTTAGGATTTTTAGTTGCGTTATTTTTTCATGTAAAAATATTTAGATATTTTTCAAAATTTATTTTATGATTTCTAAGATTTTTTATAAAAAAAATATTTTTATTCTGATTTACTTTCATGGTCTTTCAACTTTCAACTTAGCCTGACTTACCAACTTCTATCGTGGCACCACATTAGTAAAGGCACTATAAAAAACACCCAAGATGCAAAAACAAATGGGTTTAAATGTAAAGATGAGTTAAAATGGTTTTATAGATCAGGGAGCAAATTTAAACGACGGTGATAATTGAGGATTTTTTCCCATGCCATTAGGATGAGAAATTGTTGTTGACCAAAAGGCTCATGCCCAGGCTGGCCAGAGCCGAAGAAATCATGTGGACTTCACGGTGAAGATCATCTAGCCCAAGGACAAGGTCTTCATCTGCCGGCAACGCACCTAGGAGAGCACTATGCAATATCTCACACAAAATAGTCTAGGATTGGCCCTGAATTCATAAGTCTTCATCCTCAGTGAGGACTAAGAAATAAGGGACATACTCCAAATCAATAACACACGCTCTAACAATTAACCTAGACAAATGAGTTGGATCATCTCCCCACGAGATAACTCTGCCGAGGCATAGTGTTGAAGATAGATTTATCCTCCCAAAAGTCAACGATAAATCCTAGGAGCATAAGCCAAGACTAGCATTCACAAACTATACATTACATGGTACATACACGGAAGAGGGGGAAAAAACAGAGAACTCCCCATTTTGTTCACGCACGCTACCCAAAAGAAGTCACGAACACAGACAGTACATTGCTGCTACGCTCTTGTTTGAACCTCCGATCCAAATATCCAATCAATCCCATGCAAGCAAGCAAGGCAAGCTTGATCCATTGACCATTGTTGTTGCATGCGTCTGATCCGATGCAGCCGTACCTCCCTCACCCACGCCACGCTCGCAATCGAGAACTATCTCGGTCGATTCGATCGATCGATGAGTACAAGTACACACGATGACACGACACGGTCGTCGCCGGCAGCAAGCAAATCATAGGCCGAGCGCGCCGAGCGGCGTCTTGCCCTGTCCGGCCTCAAAGTAGAAGATGAGCATGGCGAGCATGGCGAGGCGGGCGTGCTTGATCTCGGCGAGCTTGAGCCGCTCGAGCTTGTCCACGTCGGGGATGTAGACGCCGTCCTTGACGGTGCCGGCGAGGCCGAGAGGGTCGAAGAACTTGCCGCCGGGGTACCCTTGCTCGCCGGTGAAGTTGGCGAAGTTCTCGGCGGTGCGGGACCAGGGCGTGGCCCACTCGACGGACTGCGAGTCCGGGTTGAAGAAGTCCACCCACCGCTTGGACTCCACCCACCCCATGATGAGCAGCAGCTGCGTGCCCAGCAGCGAGCCGAAGGAGAAGGGCGCGATGGCGCCCGGGTCGGCCCCGGCCTCGAACCACGGGATGCCGCTCCACGCCTGCCCCACGAAGATGCCCAGCACGGCCGCCATCGCCCACCGCCCGTGGATCAGCTCCGCCTCCCGGTACCACTTGAGGAACGCCGGGTCCTTGCCCAGACCCAGCGGGTCGAACCCGAAGTCGCCGGGGAGCCTGCAAAGTCGCGGCGCGGCGGCGTCATTGTCAGTTCGACTGTCCGAGCTCTCCATCTCCTCATCTCAGTTTAGTTAGCATATAAGAAAAGACAGCGAAATGACTTACGAGCCGTCGAGCCAGGGCGGGTTGATGAACTCGGCGTCGCTCTTGAAGGCGGGGATCCACGACTTCTTGGGGGCGACCGCGGCGACGACAACGAGCGCGCGGCGCGGCGCGGGCTTGGCGGCGGCGGCATTGGCGAGCGCGCGCCTGGCCCCGAGGAACGACGGGGTCTTGAGCACGGCAGCGGGCGCGGTGGCGGAGGTGGACGCGAGCGCCATGGCCGGGGTTTGGTGTGGTTAGCTTTAGTGGTCACTGATCAGTCCGTTGGAGGGAGCAGCAGCAGGACGTCAGATATTAATTAATAGCAGCGCCGCGGCGCGGGGCAGCCACAAGATCCGCCCGCGGGAAATCTCGGTGGCGGTAGGATGGATAGCGCACCGGCCAATGGCGAGCGCGCGCCATCGGATTCTGCCGCGCCGGGGGACGCCACGTGGACACCGCGCACCCGGCCCCTCGTGTGATCGAGTCCTCGTGATGCCTCCTCGCTACCGGAAACCGGGTCTTCGCTGAGTGTTTGTATATTTGTTGAGTGTATTTTATTAGATATTTAGTAAATAAGTTTTTTGACGAGTGCTGTGGAAAAAGTATTCGGTAAAATAATTACACTTGGTAAACAAACTCTTCGTCAAGTGATGAAAAAAAACACTCAACAAAGAAGTTTGCCGAGTGTCAGATCTAGGACATTCGGCAAAGCTCCTATACTATATAACTCACGCACCCCGCCGCCGCCCCCACGCACAAACTCACCCTGTCGCCGCCCCTCCCCTCCCTCCCTCTCCCGGCCCCTCCCTCCCAGTCAGTGCGTGGAGGACCTGGGCACGCCTTGCCGGGTGCAAGGCGCCTGCGCCGTGGTCCTCTGCGAGGAGTGGACGCGATTGGCACGCGGTGGTGGCTGGCGGCGGGCATCCACCATGAATCTCCCCTCATCACGCCGCGGACGACGACGACGCCTGACGCGGCCTAGGACGATGACCGCCTTCCCCTTGTCCTCCGCGGAGGAGGGGGCGGCCTTCTTCGCTGCGGAGAGGCTGGGTGCCCATGGAGCGGCAAGGGGGGAGACGAGCTGGGGCGGCGGTTGGGGAGTTCTCTCGCCGGATCGGCGGAGCTCGATCGCCTTCTTTGGAGAAGGAGGCCATGGCGTTGGGGCCCGACGTCGCTAGAGGTGGGGACGGGAGCTCCGGAGGCGCATCAGCGCCGAATCTCGCGGGGAGGCCATGGCGCCGGTGGTGGCCGCGATGTCGGGTCCCGTCCTCAGCGTCGTCGTTGGCGGGGAGGGGGCGGGCTCGATGCCGCCGCTGCTAGAGAAGGAGGCCGTGGCGTTGGGGCCCAGCGTCGCCAGAGGCGGGGACGGGGAGCTCCCAGTGAGGTGCATCACGCCGGATCTCGTGGGAGGCGAGCCATGGCGCCGATGGTGGGCTGCGGTGGCGGGTCCGTCGTTGTTGGTGGGGAGGGGCCACGAGGAGCTTCAGAACGCAGGCGGCGGCATGGGCCCCTACGGTGAGCTCCCGCCCCTACGGTTTTTTATATTTTTGAAAATTCTTTTGCCGAGTGTCGGTTTAGCACTTGACGAAGTATTTGCGAAAGTGCTTTCGACAAAAACACTCGGCAAAGACAGACTTTGCTTAGAGTCTTTGTTCGCCGAAAGTGCCGTTTGTTAAAGTGTAACACTCGCCAAAGTCTTTGCCGAGTGTTTTAGGCCTCGCTGCAGTGTGCCACGGACACACAGACAAAGCTACCGATTCAGTAGTAGTGCTGTCGATGTTTAGGAAAAAAAATTCCATGTAAATCAGTATCCACCACAAAGCGGGCGTGTATACATATACCCCCAAGAACGCATACTTTGAAAAAAGCTCCCATGACCTCCTCCGCTCGGCTTTGATTGTGTGCCGTTAGATCTATTTGTGTGTACATGCGTGGCAAGCATCTATGGGTATGTATGCACAGGAGCTTTGTGGATACTGTATCCATAGAATTTTTCCGTGGCATTGGGGCGAGTTGTGGACTTGTTCGAATGCGATTTCTTGCCTTTGGATTCGGAGGAGGAGATGGCATATGCTTCAGCTTGGTGACTTGGCGGGAGAGAGACATCTTTTATCTTCTTTGAGAATGTTGATAGGGAGGTTAAGTCTGAAAGCGCCTATAAAAAGAAAAGTGAAAGTGTGAGGATTAAATTTAGTCTTGAGAATGTTTGCGGGGTAAGGTAATTTTGGTTTGACAATTCCAGCACATTAAAGTGATTTCCTTGGAACACGGGATATATATTTTTATTTTGTTTTAAATATGAAAATAAACTAATTCTTAAAAAACTTATGTATTATTCTGCATTCCAAAAAGCTTTCTTCCATGATGTCATTGTGTCTGATTTTCTTGAGTCCTTTTTGAGATAAGGACATCAGGCTTTCTTGGCCCATGTGCATTTCTAAGGGCCTGTCAGATACAAAGGCTAATGTTAGCTAGCTAAATATTAGCTAGTTTTTTTTATCTATTTTTTTAATCAAAATTAGCCTTACTCATCCAAGAGGGGGCCTAATAGGTGAGGTAATTTATTGGTCAAGCCTCCAATTAGATCATCTCCAACACGAGCCCTCAAATTTGGACTTCTTTTGATTTGAGGGCTCCCTCTACTCTTAAGGGTATTTTTATGCATCTACTTCTGCATCCTCAAATCAAGGCCCTCGAATCCATTCTAGTAGACATTAGCATATGGGATCCACCCACCATTCGTCTATATCCACCGTCGTTCCAATCGACTGAGGTATGGTGGCGCGGGAGATGAGGGGAAGGAGCACCCAAGTCGTTGTAATTGACTGAGGGGTGCGCGGGAGAGGAGGGGGAGAGCACCAAAGACAGCATGGGGACGGGAGCGGCAGTGAGGTCAAGTGCCTCTGGCAAGTTGGGGTCGGGACGGCCGGGTGGCGGCACTAGAGAGTTGGGATGAAAATAAAAGACGCTTAGGAATCAATAGGGAGCTCCCTATGTAACAGAATCGACCAAATCATAAGAACGTAAGTACAAAAACAATCACCGAAGTGATCAAATTCCTGTACTTAAGCTCCCATAATCCCGGTAGTCCGGAAATCACGAAGGATTTCAGCCAACTCTCGACATACAAACCAAGATCGTAATGATTCAACACAACACATCATTCGTTACAACATTTCACAAGTAGCATTCGGATTACATCCATCAGAGTTCAAATAAAATATTACAAACCAAGTTTGAGTGTGCGGAAGCAACATAGTTTAGTACATAACTTCATAGTTTCAAATACATTGCCAAATCAGAGTCATGTCCCACAAAAGCATTATCAGGTACGAGAACTAGTAGAGACCGCGCCCAACGGTCTAGTCTTCATCCCAAAGAGGAGAAGGCGATTGCTGCGACAACCAAAGAAGAACCTGGTCATCACGCAGCGGTGGGAAATAAACCCCGAGTACGAGAAGGTACTCACTAGACTTACCCGACAAAAATCGAGAAATAAAAGACACCAAGGATCATGCAAGGCTTTTTCGGTGGGCTAGCTTGACACATTTGCATAAAAGAGCTTATGAGCATAGTAACCAATTTAAACTTAGCATCAAGCTTATCATCATTTACCTGTCCACTAGATTAGCTTTGTACTAGAGCACTCACTTATTAGGAGCAATCAATATTAACCATAGCTTGAGGGTATAATAAGGTGTCATCATCATATCATCATTTCGAACCATTAAGATATTAAGTGTATCTACATTGGAGATAAGCCCGTCAAGTTCTCACTAACCGGGAGAGGCGGCGATTGAATCGAATTACAACTCGGTGAGGGGTATTCCTAACTCTCACCCTGGCATACTTTGTAAGGGTAGCCGTGGGTCACCTTTGGAACATCTCAGGAACCAAATTCGCGGGTTCGATCAGCGCCAGCACTCTCAGGGATTACCCTTCTGCCGGGACGACCAGGACTTTTAAATCACACGCCCTTGGACTCACGCCACGGCTCTCTTCCGAGGCGCACTTTATACTTATCGACTCCCGGCCGAGGTGAGCTACTCGGCCGTGTGGTCGGTCTTGAAGCCGGCCAACTAAGAGAGAGGCATGCATTCAACATGAACAGGAAAGGCTCCAAGAATGGGTCCTTAAGCGACTGACGGAGTCATCGCAAACCCAAGCAAGCCTCCGTCCGGTCTTCATTTCAAATTAAACCGGTTCTTTTCCACGATAGCAAATATAGCCAACCGTGCCACATGTATCATCCTATATCTCGCGGTGACAAGAAATCACCCGACTTCTACCGCGTTTTAGCGGTGGCTAAGCACTACTCGAGCCACGAGCTACATAGGATTGAGAGGTAACAATATCTGGACAAGGAATGGGTAACCAATGCAGCAAGTGTTTGCATCCAACACCTAAACTTAATGCAACAATATATGTAATAATAACATCAGAATCTGCAGTTCGGAAAATAGGAGGCTTAATATGCTCCGGCTTGCCTTTCACAAAGTTTGCGAGGACGGTGGTCGGGGCACTCAACGGCGACCTCGTCGGTACTTCTCTGAAAGGCTGCTCCTCCCGAATCTCCGGTGTAACCAAGCATCGCTCTTTGCTTTCGTTCAGTTCCTCGAATTCCAGTGAGGTTATTCCTTCCGGTACACCTATTGCATGCCGATGCACAAGATAAATATCATGTATGCATAAGGAATGACATGATGCTCATGATGAATGAATCACAATGGGTGTTTATGAAAACATCACTGGACACTCGTTTACCGAGTAATTAGCTCTATTCAAATCACTTTAAGCATGTATATAACTTAACTTAAAAAACAAGAGCAACTTACCTAACTTGCATAACATAAGATAAAGATGCTCATCTTCAGTTAAAGGCCTAACACCTAAGAACATTACCACAACTTAGAATAATAAAGGTATACATCATTTAACATTTAAGTTTCATATGCATACAAGTAGTCCCTTAATTAAATCACAACTAAAGTTCTACAATTCCAATTGACTTGCATGAGGACATTCTGGAAAGCTTATGAAATTCTCTACAAAATATTTGTAAACATCAAAGCATGATTCTTATGTTAACTAAATCTATTTCCAGCAAACCTAGAATCTGTCCAGAATGACGGGGTTACTAACTTAATTATTTAAGGATTGTGCAAAAGCATACTTTGATCAAACCAAGTTTACCAACTTGTTTTGCATACCTAATAAACATCAGAAAGTATAGTGT